AAAATAATTAATTTAAATCCACCAGATGCTCTAAAGGAGATGGGAAATTTCTTCCTATGAAATTTACAGCCTCTTAAAAGTCTCTGAAAAGGGTCAGCAATGGGTCCAATGTTGAGTTTGGGTTCAAACTCAACAGCCCCTATTAACAACAATGGAAAGGTAAATAAAAATGAGGGCACTCTTTACTGACTACAATGGAACTACTACGTACTGGAGCCTCTTTTATTACTGACACATATTTTCCAAAGAAGGGAAGAATTTCCTGGTAAAGGATGTGAAAGGTTGCTTGGGACTGAGTCACAGAGGAATTTGGGTTGCCATCAATACTTGATGAGTAGTAGAAACAATCCAGGGACCTCTGGTGGGTTAGTGGTAAGGAGTTGCACTGCCAACCCAAAGGCTCGTAGTTCAAATCTACTAGCTGTTCCATGCGGCAAAAATGAGTAATCTCCTTCCATGTGATTTACCGCCTCTGAAAACCTCCCACAGTGTTAGTTATGAGTTGGCTCTGATTTCATGGTGCACAATAACAAGAAGAGAAAAAGTCAAGTTCCCTTTGATGGTGAATAAAACCGTAAGAGAATGGATTATTGAGTAGGGATGCATCAATAATCCTATAACAGGATAATGCTATTTTTCAAGTAGCCTGAGAGAGAGAGAGAGAGAGGGAGGGAGGGAGGGAGGGAGGGAGGAAGGAAGAAAAAGAAAAAGAAAAAAGAGGGAGCTCTGGTGGATCTCGTGGTAAGAATCTGTGCTGTAATTCCAAATGCATGCAGTGTGAATCCACCAGCTGCTCTGTGGGAGGATGGGCAATCTCCTCCTGTAAGATTAACTGCTTCTGAAAACTTGCCCAAGGGTCAGCTATGGGTCAGTTCTGACTTGATGGTAAACAACAATAACAACAGTCTTCAACAGGGAAATTCTTATTCCTGAAGGTTCTATTATTGCACTTCAAACATTTAACAATAGTTATGTAGTAAAGGGACCCTCACAACACAGTGGTCAAAGCATTTGGCTGTTAACCAAAAGGCTGGTAATTTGAACCCACTGGCTGCGGTGCAGGAGAAAGGTAAGGCGTTCTCTATCTGTTTCTGCCTGGGAGTCGTGCGGGCAGTTCTACTGTGGTAAGAGTTGTGCCACCAACATGATGGCAGTAGCTTTAATCTGTATTTTTATTCTGAGACAAATACCTAAGAAATCCAAAGTATGATAGAGCTGAAGGTCTTACTCTAAGTTAAAAGAACAAATCCTTTGAGGAGTAGAAACTAGATCTAATTTTTTATTTATGTCAAAAATGTAGTAAGAAGAGGATGGTAGGCATTATCTCATTAAAGCACCTGATTAATAGTATGAATTTTCAGATTTCTAAATTCCTAGACCTCTCAGGCGTATAATTTATCATTTTCCTCCTGTTTTTTTATCCCAGAAAAGAAGTCTTAATTTACATAATTGTGACTTTTCCAAATAAGATGATGTTGATCACTTTGACCTTCTTAAAATTCTGTAGCCTTTGTGCTTATTTACATAAGAGACTTATGAGTGTGACACCATAGTTAATGATTTAGCTCAGTTATCTGTGTGCACATTGGCAAGAAACAGGGTTTTTTAAAATTACCTGGGAGGAGGGCATTTTAAAAAATTGCTCAAAATTACACTTTATTTGAATGTCACCTCCCAGTTCTACATCCTCACAAGTACTTCCTTCACAGGCAGAGTTAACATGTCAGCAGGACGATTCAGGCCGGGCTTGTTGGCTGAGCCACTCACCAAGGCTTTGGCATTGGGGTTAGCTTTCTTGTCTAAGAGAACCTTGGCGACTTTGTAATGGCCACAGTGGGCGGCCACGTGCAGGGCTGTCAGGTAGTCGTTGGTGACGTCGTCCACAGGCACGTTATGCTGGAGCAGCAGCTGGACGCAGTTTAGATGATCCCCTTGCGTGGCCATGTGCAATGGAGACAGCCCATTCTGGAACACAGAAGGAAATCCCAATTTATTGTTTCAACGCTTAAGTCACAAATGTGCCCATCACAGGGTGCAAAGACAAACAGATGAAAACCCTAATGCTTTGTATAAAAAAACGTGCTATTTTTAAAAGATTCTGACAACTGTTCTGAATCACAGTTACTTCGAAAACTGGTCCTCCCATGTCTTACATCAATCTATAATACATCATCAAGGATAATCTCTTGCTATGATTTTAAAATAGTGTGCATTGGGTTATTAATAAGGATTATTGCTTACTATGTAGTCCACAAAGACTTCCTACAGAGAGCCACAAAGGTTAAGCAGCTGACATTTCTAATCCACCCTGGGGTATTCTGTGAGAAAGACCTGTTGATCTAAGGAAAGGGGGCAGCCACAGAAAGCCTTCCACCCAGTTCTACTCCAAACACACGGAACGGCCATGAGTCAGACTAGACATTGATCTCGTCAGGTGACTAGACACTGATCTCATCAGTTGACTAGACATTGATCTTGTCAATTCTTTCCTATGCACCTGGAAGTTGGACAGTGAATAAGGATGTCAGGAGAATAATCAGTGATTCGAATTTTGGCAGTGGTGAAGAAAACTGACTACCCTGTGAACTGTCAAAAGGACGAACAAGTCTGTCTCAGAGGAAGTGTAACCAGGTTGCTCCTTGGAGGCAACTCTGCCTCTCACACTCCGGGCGTGCTGTCAGGAGGAGCCAAACCTTGGAAATGGCATCACCAAGGGGAAGGTGGAAAGAGGGTCAGAAAAAGACAGAAGACCCTCAACAAGATAGAATGACATAGTGACTGTTAACAGTGGGCTGCAGCGTTTGGGAGGTCATGGGGATGGTGTAGGCTGGGACTAGGCTTAGTTTTGCTGTTTATAGGGTCGCTTTAAGTCATAGTCAACTCAATGGCACATAAACACGTTTTCAGTTATTACTTATTAAATTTTAAGGAGTTGGAATTCTTGAGACTCAAAGGATAAAAACGAAGTCAGAAATAGGCTTTTATGCAATAGACTGAGATTCCCCCCCCGAAACCTTATTAATAATACATTGATTTAATTTTTAAAGTCCAGATACATTTTATCTTTTATCAGGGAAGGAAGGAAAATAGTTTTCTTTTCCATAAATCTGGTGCCCCCTTGTGTCTGTGATGTGAAAATGCAAGATACTGACCTATTTACTGTTTGTCTACGTTAGATCAGCTGGTTTCAGTGACAAACTCAATCACACACAGTAAGAAATTAATAAAATATTTCATTTTAAAGGATTCAGTAATGAAATGAATGGGGTCAAAGGTAAATGAAACTCGAAAGAAAGTGAGCATAACATCAGTACTCAATGCATGTTTCCTAATCTAAGTAGGAATAAAAGGTATTAAGGTGTCAAAGTTATTTGACACAAAGAAAATATACTATGCTTTTATAAATAGTCACTTGGGTCCTACAAGCATGTAGGTTTCTATATAAGATGGAACTATTAGTCTTTCTATGTTTGCAACAAACATAGAATGAAATCAAAGACATGTGAAAATAATTGGTTTAAAGGATCATATAAACCTCAACCTCCAGGACCCTGAGACCAGAAGAAGTTGATGGTGCCCAGCCCTACTGCTGACCACTCTAATAAGGATAACAATAGAGCAGCCTGGATAAAGTGGGAGAAAAATGTGGAACAAAATTAAAAATCTTAATAAAAAGAGACTAGGGATACTGGTCAGGTAGAGACTAATGAAACCCTTGAGACTTTGACTGTTTGTTAGCCCTCAGGCCTGGAACTGCACTCCCCTCCTGGCTCAACTTTCAGTGAAACAGTGGAAAGGAATGTAAGGTGAACAACAGCACTGTGGAGGTCTCACTCTTTAGATAATAAATACAGGTGATCAAAAGAGCAGGACTGGCCCGATGGTAGGAAGGGTTTCAAAAGGAAAAAGAAGGGAAATGGCAACACAGGAGGAAGTGGGATTGATAATGTTACACTGTGGGGATTATAATCAATATCATGAATCAAAATATGTACAAAATGTTGACTGGAAAAACGCATCTGTTTCTGTAAACCTTCACCCAATTCACAATAAGTTTTTTTTGGGGGGAGAGGTTTCAGTCTTTTCAAGCATTCTTCTTTTTAAATATGAAAGCAATGTGAGGGAGTATGGAACAGTTCGACAGAACCCAAATCTCAAGAGCATCTCTATTCATTACCATAAGCTAATTTATCATGTTTAGGGAAAAGAAAATATCTTGACAATGAATTCAATATTCAAAACACTTTTCAATGACTATAATTATACCTTACAGATGTGTGGATGAGATGGCTTATTGCTAAATGCACTGTGCCAAGTTATTTTTCCCAATTTTATTTACAAAAGACATTTAAGAGGTGTAAAAAATTTCCAATCTATATATCTATAAATACGGAAAATTAAAAAATATATATTTATAAAAATTTAAAAATATATATTTAAATATACATATGCATAAAAGATTTCCTTTAGCTATTTTCACAGTATTATTAACTTACTGCTTTGTATTTCAACTAGTAGTGTTTCTTGAAGGCAAAAGGCTCATATTCATGCCCAAATACCTCCAAAACTACTGTTATCATAAATTCTATCAGGTAATGAATGATTCTACAGGACAGAAGAGAACTGCCCTGTGCCCTTCCCAAGGCTGTGGATCTGGACACACAGACGGTCTCATCTTCCTCCCTTTAAGTGGCTAGTGGTTTCTAAGAGCCAACTTTTTGGCTAGCAGCCAAATGCTTTTAGTCAGTTTTCCCATATTTTCCAGCAAAGAGCACTGTACATGCAGAAAGAGCTACACAAATATTCACGTAAATGTAAAGACCTCATACAATGCCTATCAGACAGGATATTTCTCTCTATAAAAACTCCTCTTAAACATTTTACACCAAAATAGAAACTAAGGTGCAAAAAGGGTGGGGATGTTTCCCATTTGAGATACTGCCACCCACAAGCATATGCCCTGGTTTATTTTCTGCCAAAACAATCCTCTGCTTTGTGTTTTGATATAGTCTTAGGGGGAAACACAATGTAAACAAAGACACAAAATCTGAGAAACAAATGACAGAGAAAAATAGAAACGGGAGGCAGTCTCAATAACAGAAGAAAACTCTCTAAGGATACACAAAATAGGGACACCTAGTGGGAAATGGAAATTTCTATTCTTGGGAAACCAAGAAAGAATTAGAAGAGTAAAGAGAAGATCAACTGCCACAAGAAGAGGAGTCTAACTGCATAGGGCACCCTCCTCAAGCTTAAAATATGGAGGCACTGAGAGAGCTCTGAGTTGAGGAAGATGAAAGTTGTGAAGAACTCTATAAACTGTTTTAAAGCATAAAAGGCACACACTCATTCAGCGGTTATCAAAAACATTTGCTGCCTGCCTCCTGTGTGACACATACAGTTCTAGGAACTGAACAAGGGAACATTCCTGCTTTCATTGGACAGGTAAGGAAGACAGGTAAGGCACCAAGCAAGTAAACTGGTAATTTCAAGAGAGTGCTAAGACCTCTGAAAGAAACAAAATATGGTCAAGTGATAGGAATTTCAGGGCATAGTGATGAAGGTCAAAGGAGTACAGGAGTCACAAAAGGACTCTCTGAGAAGAAAATGATATTTGAACTGAGAAATAAATGGTGATAAGACCTCAGAGGTCTGCAATCAGACTGAGGGAACAGAAAGTGCAAATAAGCTTGGTGTATTTATGAAATGAAAAAGTAATTTCACATTGATGTGCTAATGCAAGATAGGCGTTCATATCCTGGCTGCTGTGTGGGAGAAAGATGGGCAGCCTCTGCCTACAAGGGTTTGCAGCATGAGGGCTCTGATGAAGGGGTGGCTATGAGTTGGAATGGATTTATAGTGGTGGTTACGGTTTTAGGGAGCTCGGGTGGAGTAGTCTACAGGGACCTGTGCTGCTAACTCAAAGCCAGGCCTCTCTGGAGGTTCGAATCCAACAGCAGCAACTCTGTAGGAGAAAGATGGGCAATCTCCTTTGGTGAAATTTACAGCCTTGGGAAGCCACCGGAGGATGAGCTTTGAGCCAGTTCTCATTTCCCAGTAGTGAGTGGGGGATATTTGATTTGGGTTCAGACTGATAAAGCCAGAGTAAGTAAAGAGTTAATAGGATAGCTAATAGAAGTATTATCAATCACACTGTGAGTACTGTAATGTTGTAGAAGTAAATGTGCAGGATAGTTGATTGAAAAAAAAAAAAAACCAATAGGCTACAAAAATTTTCACCCAAACCACAATAAAACATTTTAAACAATGAAATCTGGGAAACGTGAGCAGTGGAAGGAAGTTGAAATTTTAAAAAGTCTTGAAATGTTCTCAGAAAGGTAAAAGTTGGCAGTGCGTTAATAAAACTATAACAGGATCTATGAAAATTTTATCAGAGGACAATAATAACAAAATGTTCTTTAAAATTTAAAACATAGAAAAATCAAGGAAATCTCACTGAGTAAGATGGGTTCAATAATGTATACTGCATTGAAACAAATGAGGGAGAAAACAGTTTAAAAGGGATATGTGATTAGGTATTTTTGTCATGGCAGGAGTCTAGAGTGAAGGCTGCATAGTGGAGTGGACCTGGGGGGAGGGATTGTAAAACAATGAAAGAATTTTTCTTGTACTTTTCCAAGAGGGTGGTGTACTAGGGTGGAGGGTTGGGAGGGGAGAGAAATGCAACAGTGAATGAATGCAAATCCAAAGTCTCTGTAAATTTTCATTGAAATTAATAATAAATTAAAGAAAAAACCCAAAAAACCATAAAAAACAAACAAACAAACAGAACATATAGACAATGAGATGAACAACAGGAAAGAAAATATAAGACCATTTAAGAATAAACTCAAGAAGTCTGATTACCAACTAACAGGTGCTTCAAAGAAAAAATAGGAGTAAATTGTCAAGGAAATAATATTGACTGTTGAATCTCATGGAATGTCCTGCTAATGAAAGAAAAACAACAACAACAACAACAAAAAACCCCAACCCCAATCCCCAAAACAAGAAGCCCCGTTGTAGTACATCAATATGAAATGTTAACCAATTAGGGCTGAAGAGACTATTTAAAAGGCACTAAATTAATTGCACAGGAGGAGATTGCCCACCCTTTTCCCACAGAGCATCTGGTGGTTTCAAACTGTGTGCTTTACGGCTGCAGCACAGCTTCTACCACTAGGCCATCCCAGCAAACTTCCCTATGTGCAGCTACAGAGGAGCAAATGTGAAGGGGCCATCATAAACAACGAAAAATTTGTGGAACACAGAGAAATGGGTGTATAATTCTGTTGGGTCGTATCTCCAACACCTTACCAACATACACTCAGCATTTCAAAGGAGTTATGGAACTGTTCAGACCACAGTGATCCTGTCTAATCTCCACTCCAGTTGCTGAGGTACAACACAACTAGGACAAATATGTGCCTTTAAAATTTTGACAATGTTCCGTAGGAAAAACTCTCTATCAAATTTCATGTAGCTTCTAAAAATGATCAGTGTAATGAAAACAGTAGTGACTAAGACATAGTTTGCATGTTCCAAATTTTAAAACACTCTTTTAAAAAGAATGTTAAGTGGTTTTACCTGAAAAAAAATCTAAAAGATCCTGAATATAACATTAATTCTTCCCCCTTTCATATTAATTATGTATTCCTTCAGATGTGTCAACTTTCCCAAAGCTCCAATCTTTACCAAAGATTCAATCTTTCCCAAATTTCCATATTTATCCACTAATAGTCTTGGCTGATTTCATGGTCTATATACTCTCAAACGGAGTAGCTAGCGGAAGAGAGCTAGCATTCAGAACTGAAAGAGTTTAGATATTTCCCCAACAATCAATTCATTCTGAGGTGTAAGAATATAAAAAAAAAAATAAAATCAGGCAATATGTAATCCTGAAATAAAATCTAAACTGTAAAACACAAACACATAAGCACATTAACTTAGTGATGTATGTATTATCCATAAAGGCATCATTAAGTCAAACTTATTTGGGGGTTGGTCTAATTGCTAAACTAGAAACTATGTCATTTTCAATGTGGTTAAAACAAGGTGGGGCTAAATAACAAGTAGAAGGCGTCTCAGCTAAATATAGCCTAGGTCCAAAAATCCAGGAAGAAATTACCTTTGTTTTTGAAAGAATGGGGGCAGCTCGATCAAGCAGCATCTCCACCACCTGCTCATGTCCGCTCCTTGCTCCACAGTGCAGCGGTGTCAGGCCATCCTGTTAAACAAGACAATGTCAATTAGCTTCCATGTAAATTCAAGAGATGTACGCTGTCTCAAGAACACAGCATCCTGTAGAGCAGTAAGCATTAAACATCTGTTCATGTGTCTTAGAAAAACAATTTCACATTTTTAGGCTGAGCACTAAATTTCTACATTTGTTTAAGCAGTTTCAAATACGTAATTTGCCAAATAGAGTAGTCACAGTTCTGTTCCACTTAAAAATATTACCATTGCCTTTCACTTCTGAATATAGCCAATGGATGTGAAACACTATAGTAGTCCGAGATAGTATAAGAATAAAAATTTAAAATAGAGACCTGTGATAGAAATTTTACATCATTCCTTTTTCTCCTTGCATTCCTATTTTCATCCCATTCTATTCCTACATATCATTTCACTTTTATATAATACAACTCTATGCTTTTACTGGTTACCATATTTTTGTCACAAAATTGAATAAGTTAAATTTAAGAAAGAGATAAAGATTTCCTGGTTAAATAAGCATCTAGGTTTCAAAAAGAAATCTGACTGGAGCTATCATTAAAATGATTTTAATATGAATGATTAAACAGTAAAAACACATAATTTTTTTGTTCAACAAGGGCAAGTTTATTTAAAGATTTTTACTTAATTATATCTATATTGTCCCCACAAACAGCTCATGTATCTATTAATGAGTCCTAGTGGCCTTGTGGCAAGAAGCCACACTGCAATCCTGAAGGTGCACAGTTTGAGGCCACTAGCAGCTTTGCCGAAGACAGATGGGCATTCTCCTCCTGTGCGATTAACTGCTTCTGAAAACCCACCAGAGAGTCAACTATGGGTTGGTTCCAACTTGACAGTACACAACAACATTACTAGAATGATACCAGGTTAAACATCAATGATAGTTCTAATTTGTGCTTTTATGTATGTAAATGTTAGGAAGTCTTATTTGCATCAATAAGTTGATGAACTCTGGTTAAGAGAAGTGTTACTAATTCTCTGAATGTCCTCTCTGTTATATACCAACAACCATGTAATAATTTTTGGTAAGAAATTCATTTTAGTGATCTATCATAGGATATCAGTTTGAGGACAAAGGTGGACCTGATTCAGACCATGGTCTTTCTGATCACTTATTATGCATCTAAGACATGGACAATGAATAAGGATGACAGAGTAAGAATTGATGCCTTTGAGTTGAGGTGCTGGAGAAGACTGCTGAACATCCCTGGATGGCCAAAAGAATAAATAAGTATGTCTTGGAGTGGTTGCAGCCAGAATGTTCTTGGGAGGCAAAGATTCATCTAACATACTTTGGGCATGTTGCTAGGAGGGTCTATTTCTTGCAGAGGGACATGATGCTCGGAAAGGTGGAGGGTTGGTGAAGAAGAGGAAGGCCCACAACCAAGTAGATTAACACGGTGACTGCTGCAATGGGTTCTAATGTGTCAGGAAGTGGGAGAAAGGCACAGGATAGAACCGGGTTCAGATCTGTTGTTCAGAGAGTCACTATTGGTCATACTTGACTTGATGTCACCTGACAACAACATCATAGCATAATTTGACCAAATATTTTATTTTTGCCCTTTTTTTGGGGGTGTCTCTGTGTGGGGGCTTTGTTTTGAAAGCAAAGTTCTTAAAACTGTCTAAAGCAAGAGGATTTGCTACCCAATTATTTGTGTCTTGCAGTTTATAATCACAAACACTAGTATTTGAAGTCATCGTTCCATCAAGGCTGTTTATATACACTGGGGCCATAATCAGACCTTTCTTCAGGATGGAAGTAGAGAAGACTAAAAATTCACACTTTCTCGATTTGGTGGAGTCTAAAGAGGGTTGCTATGAATTGTACTCAACTCAATGTCACCTCACTCCAAAGATCCAAACTCTTTAGACAATAACTGGCTTATACCTAACCGATGTAACTTTTCCTTTTTAACCAATTTCCTAACAGGTATAGTGTATTAAGTGTTAGGTTACAACAAAAACTCAGGGATTCTATTCCACCATATGCTCCAATGGGGAAAGATGAGGCAGTCAGCTTGAGTTGAGATTTACAACCTCAGAAGTGAACCAGGAGTCAGAATTACCTTCAGGGCTGTGGGTTGAGTGGGTTTGTTTTGGGTTTACTCTCCTGTGACCCACAAAGTGGGTCTTCAAGATTGTCAATAACAAACTGTAATAACTAACTGACTGCACTTATGACTGTTTTATTTGGACATGATTTTAAAAACATTAAGCCTTACTCAATAACCTCACCTTACCAAGCCTTACTTAACTTTCTTGTTATTGCTACAAAAACTCTTTTAACTTTTTCCTACAGTAGATGTTCCTTTTCACTTTTGGTATGGACATTGTATTATTTGTGAATCCACTGGTTCAGCTCAAATAATGTGATCTTAAGTTAAAATGTTATCTCAATCTGTTTTATTTTCTCTGACCAAGGATCATGATGAAGGACGACTGACAGGATCTCTAACGGAAACGGTCGGATTGAGAATACCTGATAACTTGAAGTGGAAATTTATTCACTTAAAACTATTTAAATGGCCCCAAGCCCTTCAAAATACCCCATTTGAAGATTACTGTGTTTGACACTTTATATCTACCCTAAGGATAGTGCTATTCTAAAATACAACAAAATTTGATTCAGTGTATTGTCTTGCAATAAGTCTTTCCATATTCTAAGCAAATTCTAAAAGTAAGCATAATTATTCTTGTTATTCTAAAGTATAAGCAGTAAAACACAGGAGAATTTTTAAACAGGTAGCCAAATCTAAGTAATATTAAAATGCTTTTATAAAAGAAATGTGCTGATTTTTATATTCTTTTACCATTTTAAATAGTCTTCCTTTTATAAAATTTAAAACAGTTACCTTTACAAATCAAAGTAATCCAACAAAAATCTTTTAAATATAAGCTGTTTTTTTTTTTACCAAAATAACATAAATATAGAGACAGACCTTTTGGAAAAACCCAGAATTTACTGGGTGGAGAGAAGGGGGAACACCTCTTCCCCTCCAAACAACAATGTACATAAATGAAATGCAATATAAACAAATTATTGTTTGCAAACCAATAATTTTTTTTTAAAAAAACAACATAATTTATAAATGTCTGCTCAGTCATACAAACCCTAAAAAATCCCTAAACCAAACAAAATAACACCATGAAAAAGAAAAATAACCACAGCCCTCATGTTACTGGATCCACAAATCAGCCCTTGATAAGAGCGGTCCATAATCTACAGACTTATTACATTTGGGAAGCCTATTGTCAAGAACCTCACCAAAGTACTAAGGAGCAATGAAGTCAGTTTAAAGACTAAGATGCACCTAATTAAGGTCATGGTCTTTTCAATGACTTGCTATACATTTGAGATACAGGCAATGAATAAGAATGACAGAAGAAAAACTGATGCCTTTGTGGTGTTGAAGAATACTAAATATCCCATGTACTGCCAAGAGAACAAACAAATCCATGTTGTAGAGAGTGAAATCAGAGTGCTCCTTGGAAGCAAGGATGGAGAAAGTTTGTTTCACACATTTTGGGAATGTTAGAAGGGGACATTCCTAGGAAAAGGATATCATTCTTAAAAAAGTGGAAGGTCAGTGAAAGAGAAGACTCTCAACCAGATGGACCAACACAGTGACTGCAGCAAAGAGCTCCAGTGCGTCAGAGATGATAAGAACGGCATAGAAAGAGGCCTGGTTCAGGTCCACTGCTCATAGGGTTGCACTGAGTGTATGCAATCGTACGTCACCTAACATCATTCCACATGCTACACAAATCACACACACTGCAGGACAATGTTTACCTTTAAGGAACTAAACATTTGTAACCACTGTTCCTGAAATAGCTTCTAAGAAGTAGGAGATGACTGTGCTTACATAGAAAAAAAAGAACTATTTTCCCCAAACTCATTTATCCTTGCAAAGTTTCCTCTTCAAGGCAAATGCAGCAAAGGATTCAAAATATTTATAGTTGAGTGAATTCCTTTGGCTTTCAAAGAGTGTGGCTTGCTATTCACTTTGCTGCTTTGTTATGAAGGGACGATTACACAAAACGGCTAAGGACACAAAATCTTTAGCCAACTTACCTAGCAGACTCTAGGGAATTGCATTTGGTGGGTTTGGCTTGGGTTTATCTCTATCTCAGTGAGCAACATGAAATTTTTGTAGTATTCTTATAGACACTGTCATTGATTTTATCTTTTAAAGAAAAATTTTCATTAGGGAAAATATCCAACTCATTTCAGGTTAAAGAAACAACTCTACATGCAATGCTCAGCGTCAGCCATTTCCTCTGGACCATTCAAGTTTCATCTACAATCTGATTGATTTGCCTGCCTTTTGTTATTTCGAAGCACATCCAAAACATTCATGTAATTTTTAGCCTTACAATGACCCCTAGAGGGAAAGGGTATACAGTCTCTAGTTTAGACATGAAGAACCTAAGTATCAAAGAGATTGAGTTATTCATTCGAGTCCGTGCAGGCTAAATACAGAACACAACCAAAGCTACTGGGCCCGTCTTTGAGAAATATTCATGATGTCTTGGGAGGTTGATTAATATAAGACCTCTAAGTTCAAAGTTTAGTCCCCTTTAGTCTTCTTCTGATGGTGCTCTGGTGGTGCAGCATGCGGGCTAACCCAGAGGCAGGCTTCTCTGTGGCTGAATGCACCAGCAGCTCCATGGGAGAAAGATGGGCAACCTCTTCACCTCTGAAAACCCACTGGAGGGCCAGCTACGAGTCAGTTCCAACCCACAGCAATGACTAGCACAGCAGCAATAGTCTTTTATCTATACGTTAGCTCATTTTTATGTAGTAAATTAAAAGATTGCTTGGAAATTAAAATAAATGTTGGGTTCCCCCCCCCAAAATCCTACAGAACTGAAAGATTTAGTAAGGAAAAAAGTTATAGGTTTATCAGAATAGCTACAAAATTTTATGGATCTAGGTGGCCTAGTGACAAGAAGCTGCACTGCAATCCTGAAGGCATGTGGTTT